TCATCCTCCGAATTATGATTTTTAGTCCTGTTTTTATTTTCATTATCATTAAAATGAATAAATTCAGAACATGATTAGAATAGAATTCTATTTTAAATAACAGCAACAGTAGTGTTTACAACAGCAAAACCACTATATCCTTTAAACTCAATAATAATAATAATATAATTCAGTTTCTAATTCCAGAGTAATTAAGAGGTGCAAAGAAAAAAATATTTAACTTTTAAACTTAAATTGGTCTTTTCTGTATCAATACAGAAGCATCCATTTCGATACACGTATCAGCAAGGAGCACAGTCCTATTAAAAGTCGTGTTCCATGTGCCCCTTTTATACTTTGAGCACCTGCCCCTCCAAAGGTCTCTGCAGGCTCTGCAAGACAGAACCAATCAATTACAGAGAGCATTCACTCACTTCTGACAGTGCATTCAAACAGGGCTGCGTTTCCCAAAAGTATCATAAGCCCCGGCTCCGCCTTGGCCTCCCGAGTCCCCTGCTCCGCCATGGCACCCGGAACGGGTACCGCTCTGGAGGCCCACTGTCCCGTGTCTGTCCTGAGGGGCCTCCAGAGTGCCCAACCCCCCCTCCCCATTGGATGTTATATGGCGTGAGGACACGCCTTCCGGAGGGGGGCGTTATGTCAGACTCTGTTCCGTGTTTTGTGGTTGTTTTCCTCATGTGCCTTCCTTTCCCATGTTTAATTTGTCCCAGGTGTTTCCCATGATGTTTCATTGCTCCCAGGTGTGTCTCGTCATCCCCTCCTCCTGTGTGTATAAATAGTGTTCCCTGTGTGTGCTCCAGCGTCCGGTATTGTTTGTGTCTACAGTGCTACGTGTGATTCCCCGTGAAGATGAATAAATTCCTTGGTTTCTGTACTCTTGGTCTCCTCGTTCCTTGCTCCATGTTCCCGCACCGTAGCAGATCGTGACAGTAATATTCCTTATGGAATGGCATGTCGTACGTGAAAAAAAAGAAAGAAAAAAAAAAGCTTTTGTCCATATTAGGGATTTCCTGCACTTCATAAGTTATTACTTCCATGAGCACCCAATGGCTTTGAGTATAAATGAAACATGCACTGCATGAGAGTGTTTAGCACTCTTGATTTTCATATCTTCTCATTTTGGATACGAATAAAATGTCAGGTCATGCATAAACTATCGATACTGTCTCTTTGGATTTAAATCTAGAAACCTCTACGTGAACACACCTGCCCGAATAAAGTGCGGGGGGGAAATTTGCATTTTATTAAAATTAAATATTTATTAAATATTAAACGTAGTTCTACACACAGCAATGTAAACAAAGGTGCCTGTTCTCTTTCGTTCTTGCTGTTTGATTGGAAAAATGTGAAGGGCGTCGAGGGTTCTTGTCTTTTTTATGTTATCTGACTAAAAACTATTCATACTATTATTATTACAGTATTTATTTAAAAAACGTAGAGTGCCTTAAAAATAATTATCACAACACTGGTAAAACAGGCTTATACTCATTTTCTCATCCTCCGAATTATGATTTTTAGTCCTGTTTTTATTTTCATTATCATTAAAATGAATAAATTCAGAACATGATTAGAATAGAATTCTATTTTAAATAACAGCAACAGTAGTGTTTACAACAGCAAAACCACTATATCCTTTAAACTCAATAATAATAATAATATAATTCAGTTTCTAATTCCAGAGTAATTAAGAGGTGCAAAGAAAAAAATATTTAACTTTTAAACTTAAATTGGTCTTTTCTGTATCAATACAGAAGCATCCATTTCGATACACGTATCAGCAAGGAGCACAGTCCTATTAAAAGTCGTGTTCCATGTGCCCCTTTTATACTTTGAGCACCTGCCCCTCCAAAGGTCTCTGCAGGCTCTGCAAGACAGAACCAATCAATTACAGAGAGCATTCACTCACTTCTGACAGTGCATTCAAACAGGGCTGATTTTCCCAAAAGTATCATAAGAAACCATTGACGCATTTGGGAACGGCACCCCAGAACAATGCTTATCAGAGGACAGAAACCATGTGTAAACAAAAATATAACCTAATAAGTTGCAATTAAGGCATGAAATGAATGAATGTGAATGATAAAATGTGTTCCAAATATAAAGTTAATTGGATATCATTACCCATTTTACTCTTAGTAATTTAATAATTTAATAAATTTCATAATTTAAAAGTTCAGTTTAGAAGTATTGTATTGGTATAGATATTGACGATACTGACCTTAAAAAGTATCGGTATCATATCGAAAACAAAATAAGTGGTATTGCCCATCCCTAATCAACTCTGAGCAGAAAAGCACCCAACGTCATTTGCATTTTTTTTCCATTGTCCAATCAAATTAATGGAGAGGCGGGCATTCCGTTGTGATGACGGAAGCTTACAGTTGCTGGGAACATCCAGAGACTGCAATGATGGAGGAGAAACTTGTGGTGGCTGTCGAGGGTTACCCGGAGCTGTATTTAAAACATTTTTTTAAGTTTCTGCTAATATGACAGTTGACTTAACAGCAAACCAAAGATTTTAGAGTGTTCACGCTATAATCCTTGATTAGACTGACAGGACAGCTGACTCAGTGGTTGCCTAGCAACATTAAAAACCGCAGCGCACTGCACTTTTACAAAAAGTCAACCAAAAAATGGCAGTGCGGTGCACCTTGCGTTTTCAAAACTAAAATACACGTTTTGTATGATCGGCTTCTAATACAATAAGCTTTCAATGAAACAACTCAACGTTCCTTTGTTACTAGTTCTAAAGTGATGTTTTCAAATTAGTAACGGAGGCTTGGGTTTAGCTGTTAAACAGTCAATTTGAGATTTGAATCCATGGCGGAAGGAAGTAGTTTGCAGAAAAAAGGGGTTGTAAAGACACTCCGTTTTTGTTTCTTATGTATTTACACACTTGTGTGCTGTCAAACTGTTGTATAAACACAATATCACACTCGTAGCCGTGCGATATGGCTGTATATCGGCACGCTGTGATTACCTGCGGCCTCTTGCCTACGGCCAGATCACAGCTGTGCCGATATACAGCCATAGCGCATGGCTACGAGTGTGATATTGCTCATATATATATATATAATTTTTTTTTTTTTTGCTTAACGTTTTCTCCATTAATGTATGTTTTATTAAATCTGTCATGAAAACAAGTTTTTATTACAGACTGTAACAGCCACCTAATTTGTTATGTACCTTTAAGGCACCTCCTGTGGTGTCATGCGTTGTCTAGGTGCGTGTGACTGGGTAACGTTTGCGCTGGTAATATAGCGGACTGTTCTACTATACTCTGCTCCAGAAAGCATCCTGATTCTTTTATTTTTATTTGTAATTCTGCCAAAGTGTGTCTTGTAATTTTCTCCCCTCTCTCCTCCATGTATGCGGAGAGTGCGAGGATCCTTTGAAGCTACGTATAAAGACGTGATCACCAACTCTCTCGTCTATGACCCAGCAAACATGCCCCTTTGGGGCCCGTGTGGGCCCACAGCGGGCTTCCCGCGCGGGGAAGATTTTTTTGCCCGCAGTGGGCCCACACGGGCCCCAAAGGGGCATGTTTGCTGG